TCGCCTGCTGACGGACACGCGACACGGTCCCACCTTTCGACTATTGCAAATAGTGTTGCTAAGAGGGCTCGTCTGAGTCGCTCCTCCTAATTCTATAGGGTACCCGCCTGGGAGTGGAATTGCTGGGTCCTGCTGAGTCTCCGTGTTTAACTTTCGGAGGAAACGTCCAGCTGGTCGGTCTCCCCCACAGCTGACCCGGTTCGCGTCCCCATCAGCAGTTCGTTTCAATGTCCCCACACCCTTGCTAACACTGTTTGTTTGGATTTAATGCTAACCATCCAGTGGGTGTGAACGGACACCTCCTTGTGGTTTTGACTTGCATGCCCCGGATGACTAATGGTGTTGAGGACGTTTTCATGGGTTTATTGGCCATTCGTAATCTCTTCCTTGGAAGACGTCCGTTTAAATCCCTTGCCCCCCTTTTTTTTAAAAGAAAAATTTGAGTTTCTTGACTTTTTGTTGTTGGGTTGTAAGAGTTCTTTATATATTCTGGACACCAGACCCTTATCGGATATGAGATTTGTAAACATTGCCTCCTATTTTGCTTTCTTGATAATGTGCTTTGATGCACATATTATTTTTTCATTTTGAGAGAGTCCAATTTATCTCCTGTTTCTTCTTTCTCCTGTTCTTTTTGCGTCATATTTAGGAATCCACCGTCAAGCCCAAGGTCGTGAAGGCTTACCCGTGTTTTTATCTGAGTTTTGTAGTTTTACTCTTAGGTTGCTGACTCATTTTAAGTTAATTTGTACGTAGTGTGAATGGGGTCAACTTCAGTCCTTTGCACATGGAAAGAGACTCCCCCTTCCTCACTGAATGGTTTTGGACCATGTGAAAAACCAATTAGCTGTTAAGTATACGGGCTCATTTCTGGACCCTCTGTTCTGTTTTGTTGGTCCAGATGTCTGTCCCGATGTCTGCACCACACTGTCTTGAATACTGTAGCTTTGCAGTAAGTTTTGAAACCAGGAAATGTGAGTCCTCCAAATTTTTATTTTTCAGTACGGTTTTGGCTTTTTGCAGCCCTTGCGATCCCATATGAATCTGAGGATCGTCTTTTTCATCTCTGCACAAAGGCTGTTGGCATTTTGATAACAAGTACCGGATCCGTAGATTGCTCTGGGTGGCACCATCGTCCTGACAACTGGAAACCTTCCAGGCTACAACCACGAGAGGCCTTTCCATTTAGTTTTCTTTTTGCTCATTTCTTTCAGCAACACTTTCCATGTTTCACTGCAGAAGTCTTTCTCCTCCTTGGGTGAAGTTATTTCTGGGCGTTTCATTGTTTTGGAGGCTCTGGTATGTGGAATTGTCTTAATTTCACTTTCCATTACTTACGAAGGTGTGTAGGAATACAACGGACATTTTTTCCCATGATCTCATATTCTGCAGCTTTACTGAATCCCCATTTTTTTCAACTCTATTGAGATATAATTGACTTTCAACATTGTGTAAGCTTAAGGGTTACACCCATTTTTTAATCCCAGAAAGATAAAGCATTAGAAAAGAGCTTGGAAATTTAAAAAAAGAAATTACTTATAAGGCCCTTTGAATGAGATACTTTTGCATTGTAGAGATGGATTTTAGAATAGTCAGATATTATATTCTTTATCAAACAGCATGCAATAGCCCTGAAGATCATCGGCCACCACTTGTCCACGTGCTCAGGACCTGAGCTTCCGTCGGGGTGGCCCGTCCTGCTCTGGGGTAGGCCCAGGCTCTCCGAGCCATGCTGACGGTCTTCCTCCCCAGGCTTAGCGGAAACTCTGGAGTCTGATGGGCCCCTGATGCCAACCGCCTTCCTCATTTTTCTGAAGTGGCTGAACCCTTTACCTGCGTTGCAATAATTCTGACCTGCAAGATAATAATTTCCAAGGAAACTACTCCTGTGAAGAGGTTTTGTCTACATGAGACACCTATTGTGTGTGTGGGTGTGTATGATATTAGATGCAATGTTAAATATAAATTATTAAATATCCCATGGTAAGTATATACAAATGCATTTACTATATTTCTTTTTATTATTAAATTTATTGGAGTGACATTGGTTAATAAAATTATATGGGTTTCAAGGTTCCTAGGATACAGATCTGTACATGGCATTGTGTGTCCATCTCCCAAAATCACATCTTCTGTCACCGTATGTTTGCCCCTTTACCCCTTACTGTCCCCCGCCTTCCCTCCGTGACCACACCGTGTCCGTGTCTGAGTGTGTTTGTTCGCTTGTTTTCTTTGTTCATTTGCTGCTTTCAGCTTTATATCCCACATGAGCGAAATCACATGTCTTGTCCTTTCCTGTCTGACTTATTTCACTCGCAAGATATTCTCAAGATCCCCCCATGTTGTCGCAAACGGCAGTATTTCACCTTTTCTTACAGCTGAGTGGTGTTCCTTTGTACAGATGCGCCACATATTACTTGTTTAACAATGTAATTTGTTCCTGAAACTATATAAAAAGAAAAATAATTCCCTTTTTTTAAATAGGAAAAAGCACGTGTGTTCTGTCCCAACCAAGGCTAATGGAACAGTTTTCACAAACAGGAAAATAAATCCCCTGAACAAAGCAAACGTATATATATAATAAACAAAAATTTGAAAGTAAATAATTAGTGCATAAAATTAAGTGCAATCAGCTTTATTGTACTAACATTTCTTTCCTCTTTCTATGTTTTTTTTTTTTTCCTTCCCGAAAATCACTCCTTTGGATGCTCAATTCTCTTGCGGGCAGACGGTCCTTCCAGCCTGAAGTTACTGCACAGAAAACACCCTCTGGGCAAATGAAAGGCTGAGGGCTGAGTGCCACCATCCTGGTCCTGGGACCCAGAGGGGGCCGAGGTCTGAGCACTGTGGGGCCACCCCTCCCGGCCTCAGGGCGCCTGTCCCCGGGCAGCCACCACAGCCTCGCCCACGGGCCTTGCTTCCCATGTGCCCTGTGATCCTCTCACTGAGGCTGTGTGTCAGGCCCGAGGAAGACGTGACTTTGCTGGAGCCACAGGATCAAACTGTCTCTTCTCAGACACATTTGGTGTGTCTGGGGTGAAAAAGTCATTCCATAGAACAAGCAATGTCTAAAAAGTGGTACAAGTTTCAGGCGTCGCTGTGGCTGAGACATGGAGTGAGTTGCCCAGTGAGGCAGCTGGTGACAGTGGGTCCTGCCAGGACCTGAGCGGCCACCAAGGGGTCAGGCTCTTACGCAGCCCTCAGAGGGCCTGGCAGGCACGCTGTTCGGGGACACGAGGGTCGGATGTGGTCGTGTGGCTGACACAAGGCGGCTCAGGGCCCAGGCTGTTGGCAGGAATGCCCAGGGCATCCCCAGAGCTGATGTCCCCACGCTGGGCTGGCAGGGAGCCGCTCTGGTCTCTGAACCTCAGGCTCCCTGCCAAGTGGCTCCCCTGGGAGAAGGGCCTGGCCTGGGACTGTCCCCAATAAGTCCCAGTTGTCCCCTCCTCCTGCCCTGGATTCCAGAGCCCTGATTCCTGTGAATCTCCATATGGGTCTTTCCGTCCCCAGCAGAACCCCACTCTGCAGGTGTCTGTATCCCGACTCTACGGGTCGGTCACTTGAGCAGAGCCAAGGAGCATTTCCCTTCAGGCCACTCAGTGGAACAAAAGGCTGACTGAGCAAAACCTGAGATGTTGAAACTCATGGAAGCCCTGGGGGGACCCCCTTCAACCGACTGCAGAGGCCCAGGCTACAGTGAGTCCATTCTGAACATCGCTCCCCGACTCCCACCCGGGGCCACAGGCCCTCTGGATCCCGTGGGTGACAGTGTTCTCTCGTTTCCTCACCAGCTCCTGGGCCGGACAGTGTGAGCCCCCGGGGCCCAGCTGGCTTGTCAACCCCAGGGCTTCAGGGCCCAGCTGTTACCACACCTGAGTCTCAGCCTCTCCTGGCACGTGGCTCACAGGCCACGGCTGCAGGTAAGAACCTCGCCCAGAAGGAAGAGAGGACTCGGCAGGTTCTGTCACTGACGTCACCGCAGGCCGGGGTCGCCCATTCCCGTGTCAGGTCGGAGAGACGCTGACGGTTGGTGCGTGAAGACGGGGAGCTGAGTCGGCCGGGCCATGCACGGGGCACAGCAGCCTGTCAGAAAACGGGTATATTTCAATGAATGGCAAAAAATTCTGATCGTACGGAAAAAACATACCTGTTTCATGCCTGACGTCTGCGCATCATTAAACATATTCTGCATTTTGTGTTTCACGTGTAAAACGGGCACTGAGCTCCTTCTGGTGCTGCCTCTCGTCCGGCGGAACTCGCTCCCTTACTGTTGTTTCCGAGTTTCTCAGAGCTTCCGGATTCACACGGGTGTGAGGTCGGGTTTCTTCCCCACATTCAGGCCCCTCGTCAGCTGTGTCACAGCCCAGGTCAAAGCCAGGCCTGCGCCCTCCTGGCCTCAGACGGCCTTCCTGCCTCTTGCTCCAGGTCTGACTCACTCCCTGTGTCTCGGCCAAGTACCGAGTAGGCTGCTTTGTCCCCGGCCTTCCCCTCGCCCCTGCATTGCTCTCTCCTGCTCTCTCAAGTCCCCAGGGCAGTCAGACCTGCTGGGAAACCCCGGGGCCACGGTACATCGCCACCCCCTCCTGGGGACCGAGCTGGTTTTCAGGCCGCTTCTCCGTCTGTCCTTCCTGCGGCCTCTGCTCCTCCCACCTCTGGGGGAATGAGAGTGGGTCGGGGTGCAGCGGGTACGGACGAGGGGTCCCTCCTGACGCTATGTTTTCCTGAATCTTTTCAGCAACACTCGCTAAAATCCACGGCATAGCTCCGGCCTTTTACAGTGACGAGCGGAGGAGACGTGTGGCTGTACCGTCCATGACCCTTAATCAGAGCTTCCTTCCCCACGAGAACCAAGGACACCTTCCCCCGAGAGATCGGATCAGGGAACACGGGCCCGACGGGCGTGTTCACGTCTCAGGAGGGGAAATGACAAATCTCCTGCTGGGGTGTCTCCCTTCCCCCAGGTAGAAACTCTTCTTTTTTAAAAAAGGGAGAGAGATCCATTTATAGAAAACCTTTTTACAATTTATTTTCTGTTCATCTTAAAGTATAAAACGAGTCTCTAGCTAAAGGCAGGGTTTCCGCAGTGAACCGCTGACCCTGAGAACAAATAAATAAGTATTTACAGTCGTTGGTAAAACAAGCGGATTCCATCAGTCTTCACGAGAAGTTCGTTCAAAACACATAAATAATTTACAAAAAAATATGGTACATTCTGAACATTCACATCACCGCCCACACCACCGCGTCCTCGGGCCAGAGCCCACCGGCAGCGAGAGCCCCGCCCTCCCCACCCCACGGGCCCGACGGCTGCAACCCTGCTGTCCTGGGACTAAAGAGCCACAAAAAGTAAAAGTGCAGAAGACAAAGAAAATCAACCTCCAAGAAAGCAGCAAACTGACTTCATCAAATGAAAGGTCAGAGTTAAGACAAACCACAGATTCGCTCGGTTTGCCGTCAAAATGAAATCGCTATTAACAGAAAGGGGAGGTTTGCCTCAGTCGGACGGACCCGACTTCTCTGATCAACCCCCTGCGGAAGGACCATGCAGCTTAGAGCAGAAATGAGCCCAACGCGTGCGACCGGGTGGCTGACTACAGGTGGCTCTGGCGAGACTTTGTGCCGACTTCCTCGGTCGTCAGATTCTAAATCCTCTGTACAGCAGGCAGGTAACGGGGGGAAATGTCGAATTAAGTCACCGCGACAGTATTTACTCAAGTTCCACCGTAAACTCTCATTATTTATTTGTTCTTCCGCATCTTACAGCATGTTTTATTCTGACAACGTAAGTTATAAAGCCTCGTATTTTGACAGGGAGATAATTTGCTGTAACTACCTTTATATTATTATATTCTAGTGAGACGTTTATTTCTAGGAATTGTACCACCTGTGTCTTCCTTGGCACATTTAGAATAAGTTACCGTGGAATGGAACTGCATTCTGTACTCTTTCAATAAATACAAGCACAACATTTACGACTGGAACCTTAATGAAACGTGTTACTCAGTTAGGTAAAAGCAACTCTTCCGTGGTTCAAAGCCCAGGCTGGGAACTGGACACCAAAGGGCACTGGGGGCTCCTCCCTGTGTCTCGTCTCTGCAGCAGAGGCTGGAGAGAGGGTCGGAAGCGGGACCAGGCGACAGCTGGCTGAGCTCTCTCAATCTGAGATCGCCAGAGCGGCCTGGGTGAGGGCCCCGCCCTGTCAACCGTCACACGGAGGCGGTCTCGCCAGGCCCCCATCTGCCCCACGGTCCAGCCAGTTAGCCGGGATGTTCCTTCCTGGATAAAACCCATCTCTGCAAGGGCAAGGCTTTCACTTTAGACAAGAATGGGGGAGAGGTTTTCACTAATTCTCATTTTTAACGTCCCAATTAGTTCACTGCCCAACTGCATCAGGTGACTCACCTCCTGACCTCACCCCTACGGCCTCCCCCCAGACCCGAGCCTCCTCCTAAGGGACCTAACAAGTGGCGTGGTCCTGGAGCGGCGTGGGCCTGACCAAGAGCAGAGGCCGCTGCAGGCGGTGAAAGTCAGGTAGCGACACTGTCCTGCTAACGCCACAGCAGGTCCAACTCCATATACACATAAATACAACCAGTAATTGCACTTTATATGTAAACGTCGCTCTTTTTAAACAAACGGGAAGAAACAATGTCCTGTCAATGGTCACTCCACATACAGTCTCGTGCATCATCACTTTCCTGGGGCGGGGGGGACGTTCATCTTTGGCCCATCAAAATTCATCCTCTGAAGGCGCTTGGGCTTGGGGTTGAGGGAGGCGGTGAAGAACCGATCGAAGTTAAGGTCAAGGACAGAAGATGCTGCTGAAGAGAGAAGCCGTAGGACCAGGCAGGACTGAGGTGTCTGGTAACAGCATCTACGGTACGTGCGGGACACGCAGTGAGGCCGGTTCACACATCTACAGAAAACAGTGAGCACAGGATGGTGGGCCATGGCTTTTGTCTGGTCCTACTCTGTATTACCTATAACCGAAAATATCATTATTTTAATTGTAAAAAATGACATCCACGATATGGTTGAATACGTGGATGCTGACATGCGAGGGGGGTGGACAGTTGTCTAGGAAGGCCACCTAACATAGACAAGAAACCTTCCCCAAAGTCAACACTGTGAGTTTCCTTCATCTCTGTACCTGACGTCTGGTTTCAGGTGTGGTTTTGAGAAGCATCTCTGAGCCTTGCCCCTCCCCTCCCTCCCCCCTTCCTTCCTTCACAAGGGCGACACTGTGAAGCTCCATTAGGGGCCTGACGGTGGAGAACGTGCCGGAAGCCACAGGGCGGAGAACAGTGGGGACCAGTGTTTCCTACCAAAGGCCTCCACGTTCGACTAGAAACAAACACTTAAACAAACAAAAGCAACTCAAGTTGACCAAACATCTGGATGGGCCAGGCCCACACGCCCCGCCCTGCGCCGAGACCTGTCCTCACACCCACCTCTGCACTCGTACTTGAGGTCCGAGAAATAGACCATTTCTTGAGAGAAGACAAACAGGCCCAGCCGCCCGCCTGCGTAGGTCTGGTCGTAGATGGGCCCTGAGTCCGCCATGACCTGCTTTCCTTCGTGCACCAAGACTCTGGGCGGGACGGAGAGAGAAGAGCGTGAACTCTGGGAAGCACACTCCACGGAGGATGGGCTCAGCTCCCTCCTGGCCACGCCCACAGCCGTGGCTCCGCTTCCTCCTGGCCACACCCACGGCCGTGGCTCAGCATCATCCCAGCCTCCTTCATCCCATCACTGGCTGTGGCCACAGGTACAGGCAGGTTTCACCTTCATCTCCGCCTCTCAGAATCAAGAACAGTCCACGGTGGTGAGCAGCACGTCCCTCCCAGTCCCCCCACCGTGGAGCCAGTGACCAGCTTCTCCCCACTGAGTCAGGGATCTCTTGGCTTATCATAGGCACGTCAGCCACGTGCTCACTACTGTGTCCCCGCTAACTGTGAGCTGCCCGGAAGCCAGGACGGGCTCCACCGACATGCACAGGACGGGGCTGGGTGCCCCAGGGCTTCTCGGACAGGAGGGAGACGTGACTAAGGGGGAACTTGTGTGTGGGGACCCTCATGGAAACAGGGCCCTGGGCACCCAGTCTGCTCACATCTATGTGTTACTGTGGGACCCACACATGCCACGTCTGTGACCCCGACTGCATGGAGCCCTTACTAACTAAGCTTAGCTTTGCACAAAAACTTACATTTTAATCATCATATTTTTTTTTTACTCAAACCCATCACAAATGGTGTTGCCTCTGGAGAATGACATTCTGTGGGACTGGTATCTGTGCACATTTTGTTTGCAGCAGTGTTTTAAATCGAGCCATTCATGGATCAGAAATAAAGGCAGCTGCTCTCCAGGTGCAGCGCCTGCCAGTCCGGGAGCCGCAGACAAGTACCGACCGCTCGTCTCCTCCGCACAGGAGTCGCCCAAGGAGGACGGGTGCTCGACATCCTCCCAGTCACTTTAATAAGATGAGTTTGACTTTCTCGTCAACAGTTTTTGTTTTTTAAAAATAAGTGATGAGTGGTAGAAGATTCAGGACAGAAAAGAGAAGGCATTTAAAGTAGAAAAATCCAGAACAAGGACAGGTTAGAATTCACTCGGGCTCGGCCGTCTGCTCAGGTTCAACCCTGCTGGCCAAAGAAGCGCACCCTTAAACGTGAGACTTTTCAATAGAAACATCGGCAACCTGAGCGGCTCACCTTATGTACCCGGTCTTGGGTCTGTGGGTCAGGTGCCACCTGTAGGCAGTATAGTCTTTCCAGCCAATGTTTTTGGGGTCATGCCAGAGCGTCCGCACCTGAGGGAACAACATCAGTCCTGAATATAACTGGAGCCTAAGTCCTAAGCACAGTTTCACACCAGTGCATGAAAGCTGAGGATGTTGCTCTGCAAACCAACCCCTGTGGCTCAGACCCAGGGTATAAATCTCCAGGGCAGGTGAGAACCCAACAGTGGGGACCAGGAGTCAGTGCCAAGAGCCCAGGCACCTAAGCTGGACTCACGGATCCAAATTCTGGATCCTCTGCATCCTGAGCCTGAGACCTGGGGAGAAATATTCTCACCCAAGGATATTTTTTCATTGATTTTTTTCTTTTTTTAGAGAGAGTGGGAGGAGGGAGGGGGAAAGAGGGAAAAGAGACAGAGAGAGAGGAATATTGATGTGACAGAGACACACCCATCTGTTGCCTCCACAGGCGCTCCGACTAGGCTGGGGATCGAGCCTGCAATCCAAGTACATGCCCTTGACCGGGAATCAAATGCGTGACCCTTCGGTGAGGGCCGATGTTCTAACCACTGAGCAACACTGGCCAGGGCATACACTTTCTAAACATATCTCCCTGGAGGGAAATATGTTTAATTGGTGAGAGGATCACCAATAGTGTTCATAAAAGTACCAGGCCTGGTGTCTTTAATTAGGGAGAGACTCAATAAAAGATGCTTAAAATTACTGTCACTGAGTTAAGATGGACAGAAACCAAGGTGAGGGCCTCCAGAAGGGTGGGATTGCTCTCCCCAAAACCCCAGCAGCAGAGCTGAGTCAAAGGAGCCCGGCTCCCAGGCAGTCTCCCTCACCTGTCCCGCTGTGTTCCCCGTGTGCCACAGAGCATTCCTCAGGTGCTCGCCCGTCCCCGTGGTGGAGTTGACCACCTTGAGGGACACGCCCGAGTAGCCGTAGGCGCGGGTGGGCTGGTCCTCCCAGTAGGTCTGGGTCACCTGCTTCCACATCACCACGTAGAAGCGGCTGCTGGACTGGTACCCGAACACGAAGCCGGCATAGTCATCGTCCCGGTCGGTGTTGACATAGAATGTGCCGCTGAAGTCCACAGACCCAAACTCGTCGAAACCTGGAGGCCAGGGGGATAAGGGCTGTGAGAGGAAGTCAGAAGCAGCCCTCAGGGGCGGCCTGGACCAGCCCTCGCCACCATGTGCAGCTCTGGGGCCACTCAGCTCGGGGTCTGTTACTGGGGCACTAACACAGCATCTGGGGGTTCATCTTTTCAGATCCAACCTACAGAGCCAGAGCGGAGCTGCACGGTGTTAGGTGATGGTTTGTGGCCTAGGTCATAAAATAAAATGGCAAACGGCCCCTGAAAATTACATTTCAGAGAAAGACGAGGCAAATGCATGCATTGAGCAGGTCTTACAGCCTGTGGAGGGACGGGGCCACCAGGGGACCCACTGATCCCACCCCCGTGGCTTTAAAGGACAGCTGGACCACAGCCTTGACTGTCTCGTGGACTGGGGAGGCTCACCCACAGCGATGCCGGGGTCGGAGTTGGCCGTCTGCACCAGCTCCTTGCCCTGGTGGCGGATGACCCAGTTGGGGTCGATCTGTGTGGTGCCCTTGGGGTCCAGGTGGACCATCTGGAAGTTCCTGAAGTCAGTCTCGCTGATGGCGCTGTTCTCCGGACACACGTCGTCAATGTCAGGGACGCTGTCGTTGTCAAAGTCATCTTTACAAGCATCTCCCCGCCCATCACCTGTCGCCAACAACAAGCCGGAAATGAGAGAGCAGGACATGGCTGGGCGCCTGCCTCCCGGGTCCGAGAGGACTTTGCCGAGACTCTGGAGCCCAGGTGAGCACTTTGCAGTATTTCACGGGTTAATTCTCATAATTTCTAAATGCTGAGCTGATGCCCTGAGGCGTCGCACACACCTCCAGCACGGCTGTGACAATACTGCAGCCAGGCCCACTGTGGTCCCCGGGGCACACGGGTCACCGTCAGCCCCCCTGGCTCTGAGCGGAGACGCAGCACAAAATCTGAGCACTGGCAAGAAACCAACTGAACCAGCAGCATTTGTTTTGTTTTTTAAATATTTTCCGGAATGTCTTTTATTACCTTTGGTCTCCTCCCTGCCTTCGGTCCGTCTGGCGCTCTGAGCGTCTTTCTTACGTGGTAAACGACTTGCCCAGGGAGCTGGGACTTCCCTTTTTTGGAAGCTGCTTATCCCATTTTCCACTGAGGTGATGGGAGGGTCGGGGGTCCCCTGGTGTACAGGGGCCGGGACGCTGCCCCCGTGTCTGGTAATGGTGACCCCAGTTCAATAAACCAGCTGTGTTAGTATCTGTTGCTTCAGTAGAAAAAGACGCAGAATTCCCAGCGTGCTCTCCGCGTCTCTCTTCCATTCCCCTCCCATTTGCTACATGGCCAGCACACCCTCGTGTGCAAGGAAACCTTGAAAGCCCCCACGTCCAGCCCGCACACCTGCCGTCCGAGTCCTCCCGGCCCCCACGTCCAGCCCGCACACCTGCCGTCCGAGTCCTCCCGGTCCCCACGTCCAGCCCGCACACCTGCCGTCCGAGTCCTCCCGGCCCCCACGTCCAGCCCGCACACCTGCCGTCCGAGTCCTCCCGGTCCCCACGTCCAGCCCGCACACTTACCGTCCGAGTCCTCCCGGCCCCCACGTCCAGCCCGCACACCTGCCGTCCGAGTCCTCCCGGTCCCCACGTCCAGCCCGCACACCTGCCTTCCGAGTCCTCCCGGTCCCCACGTGCAGCCCGCACACTTACCGTCCGAGTCCTCCCGGCCCCCACGTCCAGCCCGCACACCTGCCGTCCGAGTCCTCCCGGTCCCCACGTCCAGCCCGCACACCTGCCGTCCGAGTCCTCCCGGTCCCCACGTCCAGCCCGCACACTTACCGTCCGAGTCCTCCCGGTCCCCACGTCCAGCCCGCACACCTGCCGTCCGAGTCCTCCCGGTCCCCACGTCCAGCCCGCACACTTACCGTCCGAGTCCTCCCGGTCCCCACGTCCAGCCCGCACACCTGCCGTCCGAGTCCTCCCGGTCCCCACGTCCAGCCCGCACACTTACCGTCCGAGTCCTCCCGGTCCCCACGTCCAGCCCGCACACCTGCCGTCCGAGTCCTCCCGGTCCCCACGTCCAGCCCGCACACTTACCGTCCGAGTCCTCCCGGTCCCCACGTCCAGCCCGCACACCTGCCGTCCGAGTCCTCCCGGTCCCCACGTCCAGCCCGCACACTTACCGTCCGAGTCCTCCCGGTCCCCACGTCCAGCCCGCACACCTGCCGTCCGAGTCCTCCCGGTCCCCACGTCCAGCCCGCACACTTACCGTCCGAGTCCTCCCGGTCCCCACGTCCAGCCCGCACACCTGCCGTCCGAGTCCTCCCGGTCCCCACGTCCAGCCCGCACACTTACCGTCCGAGTCCTCCCGGTCGGGGTTGAACACCAGCCGGCAGTTGTCCCTGTCGTCGGGAACCCCGTCGTTGTCATCGTCCGAGTCGCAGGCATCCCCCCTGCCGTCGCTGTCGTGGTCGGCCTGGTTGGCGTTGGAGATGTAGGGGCAGTTGTCCTGGTTGTTCTGGTGGCCGTCCTCATCGATGTCCTCATTGTTGTCACACTGGTCGCCCACGAGGTCATTGTCCACGTCGGTCTGGGGGACGGGGCACAGGGGCAGCAGCCTTGAGCATCCGTCCCGTGAACCGGGTGCAGATGGAAAGCCACCTGCGGGCGCCTGAGCTGGAAGCTCCCGTCCCACCCGTGGGCGGTGGGCCTGTGGACGGGAGCAGCTTCCTGAGGTCACCCCAATGTCTACACACAACCGGGTGGGGCCCAGGCCTCTGTCCCTGCTCCCCCTCCACAGGGCTCCCTCCAAGTCAGACAGACAGAAAACCACCCAGAATCAAGGCTCCCTCTGACACCGTCCACCGCAGTACACAGGGTGGGCCGCTCTCGGTTTACAGTTGTTCGTACGGAAAACAATTCAATAACAGCAGCACACGAATAAACTGTTCCGCGTACTCACAGCTGTAAACCTAGAGTCGCCCCCCTGCATTCTATGAACTAGACCAACGTGTCCTTTCCTCACTGTGTCTTCAGAGGCAACTCTGAAAAAGCCAAGTCCTCGGACTAAATTGGGAAATAAATGCAGAGACAGATGGAGAGACAGGTCCCTTCAGACCTCATGGCGAAGCCTCTGCTCGTCTGGCCTGTGGCCCCCGAGATGCAGGAGCCGTGCTCAGAGTTCAGTGAACGTTTTCAGTTAAAATGATGGAGACCCAGGCTGTCCTGCCTGGCCGAGCTTGTGAAAACCCACGAAGACATGTCCGTCCATGACCAACAAGGTCCCGGGCCCGCTGCTCAGAGACACTCATCACACCCACCTGGTCAGGGTTGTGCACCAGGGGGCAGTTGTCACAGTGGTCGCCCACGCCATCGCCATCCGTGTCCCTCTGGTCTGTGTTGTAGACGTAGGGACAGTTGTCTCGCTCATTGAAGACGTCTGCAGGAGATCAGGGAAAGGGAGACGGCTGAGTTGGCTGAAGCACGTTGCCTCCTGTCGCGTGATGTAACTTACAGCCAGGCTTTCGCTGAATAAAAATGACCCAAGGAGGCAGTAAAATGAGAAGATTACTCGCCAGCTCTGTGAGTTTTCTGGATGAGGCCACCCAAGGTGGTCACTGACTGTGTTCGTGGGTCAGTCCCCGAGTCCACTGAGCTGTTTCCCTGAATATCCCCCCAGAAAACACGCCCTGAGACCCTGGGTGAGCAGCTCCCCGGCTCTGTTGCCCTGTCATCTGTCCCCTCCGTTATCAGAAAGTGAAGTGGCAGAGATACAGGCTCTCAGGTATCACCTTAGTCCAAGAAACCTGAACACAGATCACAGATTCCATCCAGACGGGAGTTAGGAAGAGACAGAGGTTCACAGTGGACCCTAGTGACACCGCTGCCAGTGACAAGGCTGCAAACGGGGTCCTGGGAAAAGCGGGAGACAAGCCTGGGGTCTGGGAAAGAGGAGAGGGTCCCCTGGGGCGAGGGCAGGCAAGAAAGGACCTGGACACCCCTGGATCCAAGGAGACGCCCCAGCCACCCTCAGCCCCAGAAACCAGCATGCCGGACACTGTCCTGGGGCCAGGGAAGCCGGTCAGTGTCACACCAAGTCACACTGGTGAATGTCCAGGTGAGGATGGCCGGCGTGGTGTGGCCCATAAGCTGCTGCCGGCTGCATGACCAGTGGGAGGCGGCACCCAGGTGGAGTCTGGTCCCCAGGGCCCAGGGCCCTCGGATTAAAGGTCAGCCTAGTGGTGTCAGACCTCACCGTCCGCAGACACCTGGAACCTGGGAAGCTTTGCAATGAATGGTTCAGAGAATGGAGAGGGGTGAGGCCCTGGATGTGTCTCCCCAGAGAGGCGAGTGCTGCAGACCCTGCTTGGAATCAGTCTTGAGAGGAGAGAAATGGGCTCTGGAGCATGGGGGGGCCCTGTGAGGGCACCAGAGCCAGCCTCAGAGGAAGGAGACGCTCGACTGCGGTTTCCTAAGGGTGGTCCTGAGGCTGGCGACCCCTGACGCTGCCCACAGGGAGAGACGGGCACACTGACGATGGCTCTGAGAACAGCCTAGAGAATCACCTGACATCACATTAGCAGCAGGTGAGGCTGAGCGTGTCCAACACGCACAGACTAGAAGTTTGCAAACACGTCTACCTGAACCTTAAACACATCTTCGCAGACAACACTGACCGTCCCCATCGATGTCCACAGAGCACGCGTCCCCCTCGCCGTTGTGGTCCGTGTCGATCTGGGCAGGGTTGTGCACGTATGGACAGTTGTCACAGCGGTCCCCGACCTCGTCCTTGTCGTAGTCGAGCTGGCGGGGGTTGAAGAGAAGCTGGCAGTTGTCCTGGAAGAAGAGCAAGGAAGGGATTTAAGAGGCAGGCTCATGGGGTTCACCCATGACTCCCCCTGCAGGTCACGCAGCCCAAGCAGATGAGAGCGACCCAGGCAGAGGCCAGGAAGCAGGGCCGGGGAGCCCCACCCAGCACACTCCTGGCATCAAGTCACTTTATACTTATATGGGCATCTGCCCCTTGCAAACATTTTGAGATTTTCCACAGCGAAGATGACAAACCATATGCTTCATGGTGAAGACAGATGCATAAATGGTAAGTGAGTGAATGAGTGAGGAGTGAGTGAGTGAGTGAGTGAATGAATGAATGAGTGAATAGTGAATGAATGAGTGAATGAGTGAGTGAGTGAGTGAATGAGTGAGTGAGTGAGTGAATGAGTGAGTGAGTGAATGAGTGAATGAGTGAGTGAGTGAATGAATGAGTGAGTGAATGAATGAATGAGTGAATGAATGAGTGAGCGAATGAATGAGTGAATGAATGAATGAGTGAGTGAATGAATGAATGAGTGAGCGAGCGAGTGAGTGAATGAGTGAGCGAATGAATGAGTGAGCGAGCGAGTGAGTGAGTGAGCGAGCGAATGAATGAATGAGTGAGTGAATGAGTGAATGAGTGAGTGAATGAGTGAGTGAGTGAATGAGTGAGTGAACGAGTGAGTGAATGAACGAGTGAGTGAGTGAGTGAGTGAGTGAGTGAATGAATGAATGAGTGAGTGAGTGAGTGAATGAATGAGTGAATGAGTGAGTGAGTGAATGAATGAATGAATGAGTGAGTGAGTGAGTGA